TGGTATGCTGCGATAGCAAGTAAGATCCGAATGGATTTAATCATGACAACTGGAGAAAAAGTTTCGTCATAGTCGATACCATGTATTTGACGATATCCTTTTGCTACCAATCGTGCCTTGAAGGTTTGCACCTTACCATCCATGTCAGTCTTCTTTTTGAAGACCCATTTGCACCCAATGGGTTTGATCCCTTCGGGTGCATCAACCAAAGTCCATACTTGGTTGGTGTACATGGAATCCATTTCGGACTGCATGGCTTGACGCCATTCCTCAGCCTCGGCACAACTGATTGCCTCGAGGTAGGTCTCCGGCTCATCCTGGTCGATAAGCATTACGTCACCCTCAAAGGTTAGGAGGAATCCATACCTTTCAGGTTGTGTGCGTAACCGGTTAGACCTACGGGGTTCTTGTGTATCTTGAGCATGTTGAGGTACAACAGTTTGTTCCTCTATCTCATGTTCCAGAACCAGCGCGGTAGTTTCTTTGTCGTCTCGAATTTCTTCGAGCTCTATCTTTCTCCCGCTAGTTGCGATGGAGAGAAATTCCTTCTCGAGGAAGACACCATTGCGAGCAACGAATACCTTCTTATCGATAGGGTGATAGAATGAATACCCTTGAGTTTCCTTTGGGTATCCCACGAAGAAACACTTATCAGACTTAGCGTCAAGCTTGCCATTCGTCATAAGACGTTTGACATAAGCCTCACAGCCCCAAATCTTTAAGTGTGACAGAACCGGGCATTTGCCCGTCCATAGCTGGTATGGTGTTCCTTCAACCGCCTTGGTTGGAACTCGGTTAAGAGTATATATTGCAGTGCTCAGCGCATACCCCCCAGAATGATTCTGGTAGAGTCGAATGACCCATCATAGAATGAACCATGTCAAGCAGGGTTCGATTCCTCCTTTCAGAGACAACATTCCATTGTGGAGTCCCAGGAGGTGTGAGTTGGGATAAAATCCCATGCTCTCTAAGATAGTCATCGAACTCACCACTGAAGTATTCTCCAACTCAATCGGATCGTAGTGTTTTAATACTTTTGCCAAGTTGTTTTTCAACTTCATTCCTGAATTCTTTGAACATTTCAAAGGATTCTGACTTGTGTTTCATGATATACACATAGCCATATCTACTGAGGTCATCAGTAAAAGTGATGAAGTATGAAAGGCCCGCACACATCACTATGAATGAGTGCCAGAAGATCACCAGCTCTTTCACCGTGTCCGATGAAAGGAGATTTGGTCATCTTACCCAATAAACAAGATTTGCATGTGTCATATGATTCAAGATCAAATGACTCCAGCATTCCCGACCGATGTAGCTTGGATATGCGTTTCTCATTTATATGGCCTAACCTACAATGCCATAGGTATGTTTGGTTCAAACCGTTCGGTTTGTTCCTCTTGGCTGATATGTTATAGACAGACATGTCCAAGTCAAGGACATATAACCCATTGGTCATGTTGGCATTAGCATAGAAAACATTCTTTCTGTAAACGGAAAGAGACTTGTCTTTAATAGAAATGATGAAACCACTCTTATCAAGACATGAAACAGAAATAATGTTTCTGCTAATTGCAGGAATATACAAGCAATCGTTTAATTCCAACATTAGACCACTAGGCAAGACTAAACTATAAGTTCCGATTGCCAAAGCTGCAACAGGTGCACCATTGCCGACTCGGAGTTCAATCTCGCCTCGAGCTAACCGTCTACTCTGCTTCAGTCCCTGCATGGTAGTACAGATATGAGACCCACATCCAGTATCTAATACCCATGATGAAGATATAAACATGTTAACTTCTATAACATACACCTCAGAAGAAATGGTCGTACCTTCCTTCTTCTTGGTTGCGAGGTATGTCTTGCAGTTTCTTCTCCAGTGGCCTGCCTTACCACAGTGATGACATTTGCCCTTTGCAACTCCTCCTATGGGTTTCTGGGTTGCAGATGAAGTGGACTTCGATTTAGGCTTTCCGACCATCCTAGCCTTAATCTTAATCCCCTTCTTCGGCTTCCCCTTTCCGCCTTGGACCATAAGGACGGAAGCACCCTTGCCCTTAGTAAGGTTCTCCTCTGCAGTCTGGAGCATTTTAAGAAGCTCCGGAAGGGGTTTGTCAAGATCATGCATCATGTAGTTCATGACAAAACCCTTATACAGCTTAGGGAGCGACTGCAGGATCAGGTCCGTTGCCAGCTCCTTCTGCAAGGAGAACCCGAGTTTCTCCAGATTGGTTATGTATCCAATCATTTTGAGAACGTGCGGACCGACTGGGTTCCGTGAAGAGAGCTTGCAACTAAAGAGAGCCTTACTCACGAGAAAACGTTCATGGTGGTCCCGAAGTGGTGAGTTACAAAGTCTAGAGGGGGGGGGGTGAATAGACTTTGTTACAAATTTACAAACTTTTTCGTTTCTTTTAAAAACGTGAAAATAGGTGTTAATCTAAAGTTCTTGTGAACTTTAGATTATGTGCGGAAGTTGGTGGGTAGATTGAGCAGTAATCAATATGGATGGGTTAGTTTTCTCAGTTAATATAAATGCAAGTAAGAGTAAAGATAAAAGAGAGAGACACACAAACTTTAACGAGGTTTGAAGGTGGGATAATCCTTCTACGTCCTCAAAATCCACTATGTAGTTGGTTGTTGAATAATGAACCAACAATTACACTTGTGTGAATTTCTGCACGGTATATCTTCGCAAGGCCAATGTTGCTACTGCACTCGTGCTGGCTTTGTTGTTCCTTCGAAGGTCATGCTTCTTCAACAACTGCAAGGTCCGAACAATAGGACTTGCAAGACCAACTTGTAAGAAAGTTGACCTACCCCCTTTTAATCAATAAGTTTGATCAAAATTTGTATCCTTCAACGTGGTGTGTTACTTGAGGCAAGGAAACCTACAAGTATTTACACTATAGCTTTTTGGAAGGAGGAGAAGTTTGCTTCTGGATAAGGAGTTTAGAAATCTCTCTTTATCAAGCTTTTTGGGCTAACTGTAAATGAGGTAGCCTCTTTTTGGTTGTTTTTCTTATTGTTGATGAGTTGTTGTATATATTTTCTCCATTCTTCCAAGGATGCTATTTATAGCTGGATTGGATAATCTATCCGTTGAAT